ATTTTTATCATCCTTAGTTCCACCATCCAAAATCTTAATTAGCCTTGAACTGAATGCTGTTTAAACCCTGTACATTATTACCATCATTTCCCTCCTTACTATCTTTTTGGCAACCACTGCCACTAATACCAGTATTGCCACCATCATTACCACCTCATGTTCAGACATAGCCAAATACATGCGTCTACCATCAGTCATTGGCAGCACCACCTTCCACCACCAAGACCACAACCACCAAATTATCAGCCTTCTTATCTAGTTGTAAGCAATTAGCACCAGCTTTCCCATACTCGGAACTATTTTCAACTATTAACCAAAAAGGTGAACTTAAATCAGTTCTAGATTTACAGCAATTCAAATTTCAGCATCGATAACCCAGCATTTAGCACTAAACAATTTCAAAGACTACAACTTTAAACTACAATTTATCATTCTATGCTTAAATTTGAGTTTTATAAATAAGGCCCCTGACCACCCTTCTCCCCATATTTTCTGGTATTCGAAGATACCTCAATTCAAGAATTGCAGTTCCTTTTAAAGGAAGAACAAAAGCATCAAATGTGTTCGTCAACCACCCACATTGGTGTACCCCAAAAAGGATCAGATTAACCGATAGTTGTTTCAACCAAATATACAATTACAAGAGCACCAATAATCCCATGGCCACTTTTTAAAAACTCTTCTTCAAGGAAATGATAGTTTTCTGTTTGAAAGATGGAGAAAACCCAAAATTCTAGATGGTGTACTTTTAGACTAGTTTCTAAAGAAGAACACAGACTAGCACCAACAAAAAGACACCAAAGACTGCACTGCTTGATTATCTAATTCCTTCATCAGTTTGGATTCGAGATTTCTCATTCAATGACGTAACCAAGAGAACTAACAACAAGCCAACTATTATGTTTCTAAGGAAGAAATGATAAGGAGGTAAACAACTAATCAAGTTTTATTTAAAAGAAAACAAAAGCAATGGAAAAGGGAAACAGCCTAGAATACAGTAAAGCAGAAAGAAAGAGAAAAGGACCCACTTCTCTCACGAAATAAGTATTTTCAGCTGGTGTGGTTGATGTAGCAATTTCAGCTGATGCAATCGAATTTACCATTGTTGACAACATTTTCCCGCCTTCCGAGTCAGAAGTAACTTGCCTCCACCCCATTTTTATTATGCTTTTACCTTGCTTAGTCAGCTTATACCCCTATTAAGGCACAAGAGAAGAGATCAATATTGCAAAGCCATATGTTAAAATCAATGGATAATACAAGGGATAATGCTCCTGTCATAAAACTGGAAGCAGCATCCATTTCACTAAGGGTATGTTTGGGTGAGGAACTTTGAAATTCCAAGAGATTTAGGCATAGTGATGAAGAAATGGACCACAAAAAGCTTGACGTGGGGATTAGACATGCACCACATTAGCATTATAAAAGATATGATAGAGGAATTTGAAAATGACTACTTGGAATCATTTACAAATCTCTATCACATACCTTTGTAATGCTCATGAGGTGCATTTCTAATTCCTCCAGTCTTAACTTTCTGTCCATTTCTTCTTCACTTTGCCTAAATGCCTTGGAATTTGGAAGTCCCTCACCCGACCATACCCTAAGAGAAAACCAAACTTAAGTGCAATCCAGTAACGCTCACTAAAGCATAAACAATAAACAAACTGCCTACAAATCTTTCATTGAAAGGTATTCAGAGTAAAAGAAAACGAGAGACAAAGAAGGAAAGGAAAGAAAGAAAAGCTACTGATACAAATTACTTCAGTAGTGAAATAGCCTGGATAAGCATGTTCATGCACAAATACCACTGCACCTATCAGAGTTTTGTCTTCTGCAGTATAGTGAGTCTTAAAATGACTCAATACAAGCACATGGAAAAGAGAAAAGACAGAGTAGGCGTGGAAGTTGGCAAATGTAGTTGTTAAGGAGAAACTGCATTTGACGAGGGTTGCTATACTGAATATTACAGACACACAGCATGCATCCAGAAATTTACCTTATGATTAGCAACATCACATGGCAGATCTACATTCAAGAAATATCTTTGAGGATAGGTTTTGTTTCTTAATTCCACCAGTACTCCATTTATGATGGGTAAGCAAGCCTCGGCAGCAATTGTGAAATCATTAATATTGCTCTTACCTCCAACCCTGCACGGCCAGAACTCAACGTAGTCATACAGGAGATTAAAATAGGTAAAAACACACAAGAATTTGCTTTTTCTCAAAGTAAAAAAGGAAAGAATAAAATTACGAGAAAAATATAATAGCGGCCCTAACAATTTGAAATGTTCATTGAGATTCATCATTCATTCATGTGCAGAGAAAATATTGTTCATCAAGCAATAAGCCATCAAACCAGCACACTTACCAATCATATGATATAGATATTGCAGGCACACCATTGAAAAAGGCCTCGCGAGCACCAGCCACCGTTCCAGAGTAAACACTACAGTTACAATAAAGAACTTATTAATAATGTTATGGGCTGAAAGAAGCAAGAAAATAAAACTAGCACTTTGAAATTTTTAGGGACAACTAGATTTGTAGGCTACTCTCGAGAACAAAACTTATTGGGTGTTTGTCTTTTATTCATCAAGATAATAGATCTTCATAACTTTTTGGGAAAAGATTACATCTTTGTGAGAAGTTGTGCTTGGAATAAAATCATTCCAGTTTCCTCATTATACCATCTTTTGGAAACCCAAATCTTTTCGAAAGCAAATAGTTAGTATAAAATTACATTGGGTTTCAACAATTAAAAGATAATCATTTCAGTTTCACTGGACAAAGCTGATGCAACTTACACATATCTTTGTGTTTAAATATTTTGAGACAAAATCTTAAAAAAAGATAACTAATTATCGACAGGAAACAGAAAACAAAAGATTACTAACATGTGATAACCGCAGTTGCTGCCCATGTTTATACCACTGATTACCTGTGTGTATAAACAGCAACACATGTAATTACAAATCAGAAAAACCCCAGATAAGAAATGTGATCAAAGGCAACAGCGCAGAAGTAAAAAATATTTACCAGGTCAGGAATTGTCGGAAAAAGCGTTTTGGAAACACCCAAAGAAGCACAATCAGCTGGAGATCCTGCAAACAGAGTTGATCAAGAACAAAGCTTTTTTACTTTTTACCTTTCTGGGTGAAAAGGGAAGTAATCACTTTGGAAAAAACACTGGAAAAAACATTCTGGGGTTTTGAAATTTCCATACCAGAAACAGCATACGCTGTTGCTCCATCGATATGCACTTTCTTGGCAGCAATCGGATGGCGCCATGTGATGCAGTGACTCACTGCTGACTTCTCCCTGCAAAGGCATACGAATTTTGAATCAGCAGAAATGAAGGATTGGATTTTGATTGGAGGAAGTGAAGACCGAAGAGCATTTAAACGTTTAATTCCTTTCTTTTACGTACGAGTCGGGGGCACAGACGAGAACATTGTAGCGATGGGTGGAGACGAGGACTTGGACGAGAGCGAGAAGTCCTGGCCCTTCAATTCCGTCGTCGTTGGTCACCATCACGGTGGGCTTGTCGCCGGAGATGACAGTGGCGTTTTCCATTTCCTTGTTTCTCTGAGTTTTGGTTTCGGAATTTGGAGGAAAATAGACTGCTAATGATAGAGCAAGAGTAAAATACGGAAGTATGAACGGCAACAGTGTTGGGCACATCATATATAAAGTTTTGCTTTTTACCTTTTTAACCTTTCATAGAGCAAATGAGAATCCAACTCAAATATTTCAATAATTATTTTATTTTTTTAACAAAACATATTATCTATAGGAAGAGAATAGAAGAGTTGGAGTTTGGCAAGTATCGAATCTAAATTTGTTTACTTATAAGTGAACACATATATTATTAGACCGTAAAATCATGTCATAACTCATTCATTTGAGAGAGTAGGTAAATATTGTGGTCAGTTTTACTTTTAGGTCTAGTTGGATTATTAGTTTTTGTCGTGATAGTGTAGTAGTTGAAAGATAACTCTTGTGGTAAAAAATTAGGATTTAAACCATGTGGTGAAGTCGTTAGGATTTAGGCTCAAGTTTAAAAATTTCGTCAACTTTCCGTTTATTGTTAACACATAAAAACTAATAAACTTCACTACAGGAGCTTAAATCCTAATTTTTTTTATCACAAAAATTATCTTCTAGTTATTATATAACCACGAGACTAATAATCCAATTACGCCTTACTCTATTTATACAAAAGGAATATTCCTCTACAATTTTTTTAAAAATGGCATATAATTCATAAAATAGTAAAGAGGAGCAAAAGGACTAGAGAGTCAACACTGGGGGCTGCGTTCTGTCCAAGCGGACCATTCAAGGTCGATGCTGTACGTTGATGCCGTTCTGGTAAAAGCGCAAGCGCATACAGGTAATTCGATTGGGGAATTTGAAAAAATAACTAAATTTCGCATTCTAAATAGAATTCTAATTACCATTTTAAATTTTTAATCAGGGTAAATTACATTTTACCACCTCAGGTTTGAGGTTTATTATAACATCATACAACATCTTCAAAATATTTTGATTTTATACATCACGTACTATTTTATTTCAATATAATACGTCCGTTATATTTTCTATCTATTTATTCATTAAGAGCTAACGTGGCTGCCATATTTGTGCCATGTGACTATCAAATTTGTGCCACGTGGCAAAAAAATAATTTTTTATGCATTAAAAATATTATAATATTTACCCTATTTCCAAAAAAAAAAAAAACAACAACAAACCTAGAAATCGTCTTCCCCACCCAAAATTCCATGACCAAACCTGACCGTTTAAATCGGTTCCGATTCCAGTTTCAAATGAACAAGAACCGGCCAGAACCGAACCAAACTGTTTTATTAATAATAAATTAATTAATCATATATATACACACATGTCATGGTATAATAGGTTGAAAAATTAGTTTCACCAAGTTGTAAAGTAGTGGATCCCATCCCAATTAAGGTTCACTCACCTCACCGGCTCACCTCACCTCACTCACAACCTCACATCCCCATTCCCCCATTTCACATAGTTGACGACCCCTCTTCCTTGTCGACGCTGCTTTTATAAGAAAAACAATTGATTTATCCATTTCATCAACCGCTGCTTTTGCAATCACACCAAAAACACTTCTCCACGGAAGAGGAAGCTGCTTTCTGCTTTCTTCATAGGTAAAGATTTCTTCCCTCTCTCTCTCTCTCTCTCTCTCTCTCTCTCTCTCTAAAATCCACTGTGTTTCTTCAGAGGGAGTTTTCGAGTTGGGTTAATTTCTATCACTTCATGGTTGGATTGTTTCAGTTTTTTTATACCTAAATTAAGCTTTGGTTCGCCCACAACTCCAACTCCCGTGCAGCGTAGACTTGTCGTGGACTCGGTTTCTAGAGGTAAAACTCCATTTTCTTCTCCACTTGTTTCGAGATATCTTTGGACCAACGTCTAATTTTTGTTATAATTGTTAATCAGATCTATTGTACTCTCTAATCCCAAAAAAAAAATTAAATTAAATGAAGTTAAATTAAACCTGTATTTGTTCATGCGAGATGTCAGATGTGGATGGATATGTGGAATTGTTTTGGGATTATAGGATTTGTTAGGTTTTCAAGTGTTGGGTTGTTTTGTTTCAAATTATTTTGGAATATCTCTCTCTTTAAACCTACGTATAAATAATTTATTAATTAATTGTACTAGTTTGTGTCTTTGATAGACCTAATGGTTGTAATTTGTAATTCAAAAACACCTGAATGGTCACTAGTGTTGGATTTGTTACTATTTTGTTTAGTGATTTGTGTCTTGTTATGCAATTTTTTTACCCGGTATCTGAGATCTTTTTTGTGTTAAGTCATTTGGAGGCTCCCCTGTACCGAGTCGTGTGACTTCTCAACTGATCTTTCTTCATTTGTTGTGTGAGTGTTTTATTTTTTTATTTTTTATTGTTAGAATCTGCTCTAAGTTTTGTATTCGGGTTTTATACGGCTTTGCTTATGTGGATTTCAAATTGATGTTGCTTGTGGATCAGTTTGTGGTTCAATTTCAATATGGATGTGAATGACAAACTCTGTGTTGAATTTGGGTTTTGTTTTTTGTCCAGTTTAGGAATGACGAACCAATCTGCTTTTTCATCATCACCTTCGTCATTACCGGGTCTAACACCATCACCACAAACTCTATGTATGAAACTTTAATTTTTTAGCACATTCCTTACTAATTTGAGTTGTAAGATATATAATTTTGAATTCAACGAATAAGATATATATATATATAATTAACTAATACATGAAGGAGATCACATGGGATAATTAAATTGTTTGAGATCATGTTTTGTATAGCTAGTGTAATGAAAACAAATTTCATGGTGCTCAAAACTTTGTTGACCAATTGCTCTTAGCGCATGTTTGTATCACTAGTGTAATGAATACAAATTACATGGTGCTTAAATTGTTTGATTATATGTTGTTTGATTGTGTATAGAAGCTGCTATTTGAAAAAGAATCTACCACTGCAAAGGACAATTGGATTTTTGTTTTTGCTGCTTGCTACTGCCAATATCAGGAGTTGTTGCTTGTTTGATTTTTGTTTTTGCTGCTTGTTGACTTGGTGCCACTGACCAAAGACATTTGCATTAAAAATGATATGTGTTGTATGCAACTTTATATAAACAGTTTTAGAAGATGTATTTGAATGCATGATAATTTGGTGTTCAAATAATTTAGTATTCGGAACCGTAAACCGGCAAGAACTGAATCGAAACCGGTGTAGACTGAACCGTATGGTTCTAGTAATAAATTTAAGCGGAACTGCACCGAACCGCACCGTGCCCACCCCTACTCTTCCCCATCCCCAGCCGCATTCACCCAAATTCCTCCATTGCCAAATTCCTTTCCTTTCTCCATTGTACTTCGCCACTTTTCTCCATTGCCAAATTGCTCTCCTCTTTAATCTCATCATCCCCATCATCAAAATCCAAAATAAATTGGCTCTAATTATCAAACAATTCAAGAGGAACATCGACGAAAAAATGGTCGCACTGTTCCTACCTACCATACCCGCACCGCGACCATGACCTACATCCATGCGATTGCTTTGCCTAGATTAGTTCTTGATTTGTTGAAGGCTTGAAGCCAAGAAACCCGACCTTGGAGCCTAAAATCCGACGACCCGCGAAGTGCCAAAAGAAAAACAATAGAGAAAATAAGGGAAAAAAGAAAGAAAATGATACAAAGAGAGACGGAAGAGAGAGAAACTGTGAGATTGTGAAACATTTTAGAGAGAGAAAGTAGAGAAGAGCGAAGAAGGAATGAGATTTGATCGTAGAGAAAAGCAAACGAAGCTCGAAGCTTGAAGCTCTACCCCTTGTGGTTGTCAATGTTGTAAGCCTAACTCCCTCTATCTAATTTGCTGTAAGGAAGCCCTAATTGGAGTTTTGTGTTTTGTGTGTGAGATTTGGGAGAAAAATTAAGGTTTTGTTAATTTCTGTTTTATTTTGTCGGATAGGGGAATAAACCCTAGGATTTTGTGACTTTTGTGTGAGATTTTTGGGGGGGGGGGGGGGGAATTAGGGTTTTGTAGGCTTTTATGAAGGGAGGGAGAAAGAATGCGCCGGGGGGGGGGGGAATAGGGTTTTGTAGGCTTTTAGATGAAGGGAGGGAGAAGAAGTGAATGCGGCTGGGGATGGGGAAGGGGAAGACATGGGATTTTGGGTGGGGAAGACGATTTCTGGGTTTGGTGTTTTTTTTTGTTTTTTTTTTAAATAGGGTAAATATTATAATATTTATAATGCATAAAAAATTATTTTTTTGCCACGTGGCACAAATGTGGCAGACACGTTAGCTCTTAACGGATCAATTGATGTAAAAAGTGAGGTGACACCCCGACCTGGAAAGGTCGAAGCACGCTGGTCATCACCGTGAGGTGACGTAACCATAAGGGTAAGTGGTGCAAAAGTGAAAAATTTCAAGACTAATGGAGACTAATTATACTAAATAGTGAAAAAGTGCGCAATCGTGGGAAGAACCCACTACAATTATTCAAAGCGTAATAGACAGTGAGACTAGAAGAGTAGTCAAAACAACTAAGTACACTTATTACATAATCGTGATAAGTTTGTACGTTTAAACAGAAGAGTATGTCAGAATTGCCGTGATTCCTTGAATGCCACAAAGAGTACAACTATCTAGGTCCTGGAGGGGCGAAAAACAAAGTTGAGTGAGTTAGCAAAACAATGCTTATACGAAATCCTTTATTTTTGAATATACTAACCATTCGCCGTAAAACAAGTATAGTTTCCTTAAAACATACTACATAGGTATGTAAACAATAAATCAACAACATTGTAATAATAATATAACCAGAAATATGCCAAGTTATGATGTATCAAATGCCACAATAATATAATCATGTGATAATCAAGTATAGCTAAGTGCTCATCCATCTAAGCTGACACACAAGTTCGAATAGATAATTTCTGACACGAACAGGATTGGGTGTAATCAATATGCTCTAGTACTACAATCATGTGAAGGCTGGTGCAGAAGCATGGTCACATACAAGTCGAATTGCCTAATGCAATCTACCCGACAGGACTGGCACCTAACTTGAATCCAAGACGAGCGAATAGTGCGATGTGAACATACACGTGAAAGACTGGCCCTGGCCCTAGGGCGAGTACTAACACCAGTGCAGCAAGATGAGCATGTACAAATATATATGAATATCATGACAGTAATATCTCAACCTTATAGCAGCATTTATCATAATTATATCACAATAACGGATACTTGGCAATATAAGCGTAAAAGTGAAGTAAATACGCATTTATGGAAACTATAATTACGTATAGGTATAAAAACAAACTACCCACTCACAAGTACGTTACTGGGTCATAGCCCTCGAGCCTAGCTTGGCCTCGAACGTCCTCGGGGATACGTTTCCCCTATATGTGAAATAACTAAAATAGAATTAATTAAATCACATATACGGAAACCTAAATAAAACCCCCATAGTTTGCTCAAACCTAGGGTTTAAATATACCTTCGTGACCTACTCGACGTCACGAACATCCCCAAATTTTTAAAATAATTTTTGGACGGCTCATGCGCTGGCAATGGCACAGCCAGACGCGCCCCCACGCACAAGCCACTGTCGTCAGTTAGTCTGACGCCGTCAGGAATATTCCGTTAAAAGCTAATAGAAGTTAACGGCATTACCTGACGCCGTCAGGAATATTCCGTCAACTATGACAGAATATTTTGTCTCCTTCTCCAGTTTTCCTAGCTGTCGCCGCATTCCGCCGCAGTCTGCAACTTGGTTTTTCACTTGATTTCTGGAAAATTTTCAATCTCATTATTCTAATTCATTTCTCAACCATTTTTGACGTACTTTATATGGATTTGAAGCTCGTGAAGAGTAGAATCATGTTATACCTGTTTGGAGTCCAAAAAATAGACAAAGATCATCGGAAAAATCCTCGAAATTTCGGCCAAAAGTGAACTCTTCGAAACTCAATCGTTTCACTTCCAAATTTCTCCCAAATTGTTGTAGGAGCCTGCGTAGAAGCTTCCCCAAGCTTCAAAACTTCCTAACTAGTTCGAAAACTCGTCAAACTCAGTTTTCCCAAGTTTGGACCTCACGAGTTCAACGTTGAAAACTCATCCATTCCAGGTTTCAAAAACATGGTTATGTTCTTGAGGATGAGATTAACACAAAAATGAGATTCTTGGGTTTGATCCGCGAGCTTTGAAGCTCGTTTGAGGGTTTGCAGAGAAAGAGAGAGTATACGGGAGAGAGAGAATGAAGAGAGAGATTTCCTTTTCTCTTTTTCTGATTAGGGAACAGAAATGAGGGAATGAATGAGATTGGTGAGAAAGTGAAATAATGGAGGAGGGTGCACAGGATAGGCTAAATAAAAGCTAGGGATAGGGTTTTGGATTTTGTACAGAAAAGAGTATCGAAAATCTATCCGGAATAGTATTTTCACACTGATAAAGTTTACGTACAATCGCAATGTGTACAATTTAAATGTGATAGCGAGAAATAAAATAAAAGCGATATGAATACGTCCACGTCACTTGCCAATAAGGGCATAACAATCAATACACATACTAGGGGAGAAATTACATAGGAAAATTAGGGACGAGTCGTCACATATGTCTTGTATTGCCATCTTTGTCCTTTCTATAGTATAGACGATAATCCAAAACCACATAAACCCAACCCATCACATCCCAACCCAAGCACAGCTAGCCATGGCGTTCAACACGATCCCTCTCTCTTCCTCTTTTATACTCTCACACACAACCTTCATTTAGTTCCAAACCCCCAAAATTTTTTCGCCCTCTTCCACACGAAGACGACTTTCACTTTCAGTCTCAGTCAGCTTTCTCGTATACTCTCCAATTTCTGATTTTCAACTACGACGATGTAATCCTTGAGTTCGAGCACTTGCACCACCAAGCTTACAATAAGGCCTTCGCTCACTTTCAGTGTCCGCTACCCTTCCTCAACATCTATGCCCCTGGGACTTCCACTTCTAAGATTTAATATGAAAATACTAATACACCCTTAAAATAAAGTTTTCTAAAAAAATAAAATAAAATAAACCAAAAAACAAAAGGCTCGGCTGTTTTTTACCGCCATCTATGTCTCTTGTATAATATAGGCGATAATCCAAAACCATAGAAACCTAACCCATCACATCCCAACCCAAGCACAGCCAGCCATAGTGTGCATCACGATCTCTCTCTCTTCCTCTTTTATACTCTCACACACAACCTTCATTTAGTTTTGATCCCCTAAAAAATTTTTGACCTCCTCCACACGAAGACGACTCCCACTCTCAATCTCGGTCAGCTTCCTTCTCTGCTCTCCAATTTCTAATTGTTAGCTACAACGATGTAATCCTTGAGTTCGAGCACTTGCACCACCAAGCTTACAACAAGGCCTTCGTTCACTTCAGTGTCCGCTGCCCTTCCTCAACATCTCAGCCCTTCAATTGGGACCTCCACTTCTAAGATTTAATATGAAAATACTAATGCACCTTTAAAATAAAGTTTTCTAAACAAAAAAAAACAAAAAACAAAAGGCTCGACTGTCTTTTACCGCCATTTCTGTCTTTTCTATAGTATATACGATAATCCAAAACCACAGAAACCCAACCCATCACATCCCAACCCAAGCACAGCCAGCCATGGTGTGCATCATGATCCATCTATCTTGCTCTTTTATACTCTCACACATAACCTTCATTTAGTTTTGAACCCCCAAAATGTTTTTGACCTCCTTCATATGAAGACAACTCTCACTCTCAGTCTCGGTCAACTTCCTCCTCTGCTCTCCAATTTCTGATTTTCAACTACGACGATGTAATCCTTGAGTTTGAGTACTTGCACCACCAAGCTTACAACGAGGCCTTCGCTCACTTTCAATGTCCGTTGCCCTTCCTCAACAT